TATCATCTCTATAAGAAACTTTACTTAATCCGTCTTTCAATCTTAATACTCCAGCTCGCTCCATATCTTTTATTAATTCTGCCTTAAGATTCTCTGGAAATTTTTCTAAGTCTACAATTCATGTCCACTGCCTCTGCATCATGGTTAGCACCTTTTTCAGTTCCTACAAAGAAAAAATCAGCAAAGGGCAATTGATTTATCTATCAAAATTGAAAGTATAACAACTAAATGTATATGAGCACTCCACATACCATTATAGCTCAACACAGGTAGTCTTCGACTTACAACCATTCATTCAGTGACCATTCAAAGTTATGATGATGGTGAATGTAAGGACTTAACGACTGGCATCCAAAGTCACAGCCATTGCAATGCCCCTGCAGTCACATGATCAAAATTCAGGTGCTTGGCAGCCCACCCGTACTTACAACCACAGCCTGCACTTCAACTCCCCCCACCCACCTATCTTCCCCCCACCTCTGCCCTTTTGGGTGCCCTGCACAGTGGCATCCTTCGGCAGTGGCAGCACTGGGGCTGAATTAGAGGCCTGGGGCCTTCAGTAGTCTCAGTCAGCCGCCACCCCCCCCAAGCTTTTACTTCAGTCCCAGCATAGGTGGCACTGCTGCTGAGAAGTGCTGCCTCAAGCCCTGTACCACAGCAGCCGCCAAAGCACAAAGCCCCAGCTACCCCACGCTCCACAGGCCCTCTGCGCCCAGCTGACCTTCACAGTTTTCCTCCTGCTGCTGCTGAGGCATGCTCAACCTGCCTTATGTGAGGCAGCTGCTGGCCATGCCAGGCCTTCTTCCCAAGGCCGACTGCTCCGTTTTCCAAATCACGCAAGCTGTTCTCCAAATCGCACCCCCCCCCCATTCCCGTGCTACTCAGAAAACCTTTGGAAAGATTCTGAGGTCTTCCAGAATGGGGTGCATGATTTGGAGAAGAGCGTGCACAATTGGAGAATGGCAGACACGCCCCACTTTCGCAACGCCTTGAAAGACCTGGCATTGTTTCCCAGCAGTGTGGGAATGGGGCGTGCAATTTGGGGAATGGCACAAGCAGTCTTGGGAAGAAGGGCTGGTGCGGCTAGCAGCTGCCTCGCATAAGGCAGGCCGGGCACACTTCATCAGCAGCAGGAAGAAAATGGTGAAGGTCACCTGGGTGCAGCAGAGACTGCGGAGCACGGGGCAGCTGGGGTTTTGCGCTGTGGGGTTGGGGTGGCTGGCCATGGTGTGGAACTTGAGGCGGCACTGCTCAGGAGCAATGCCAGCTCAGCTGGGACTGAAATAGAGGCCTGGGGGCGGTGGCAGCCAGCTGAGACTGAAGATCCTGGGACTCTAGTTCAGCCCCGGTGCTGCCACTGCCGCCAAGAAATGCCACTGTGCAGGGCACCCAAAAGGGCGGAGATGGGGGGGAGATAGGCAGGTGGGCGGAGTGGAAGTGAAGGCGAGCACGGCAGGGCAGGAGAAGCTTAAGGTATTCACATAACAATGGTGCAGTCCTGGCCTAACAACCACAACTGGCACTACTGGAACTGCTGTCACTAAGCAGTGCAGTCACATGACATTTCTCCTAATGACTGCACTGCTTAGTGATGGAAGTTCCAGTCCCAATTGTGGTCATAAGTTAAGGACTACTTGTAATAAAGCACATAGTTTATACTGTTAAAGGTTCCTGTATCAATCCCACTTTAGAAGATCTCAAGTTGCAAAGCTGGAGAAAATCTTCCTTGAAAATCCACTGCTGTCAAAGTAGACATTAGACTAGATGGAGCAGCAGCTTGTTTCCAAGAAATTCTCACATCTTAAGTCTTGTTACGCAGCTTGAAAGCAGCAAATATATGTTCATTTTTGGCTGATGCAACTAATCAACTCTTTTCAGTTGAAAGGAATTTAATCTCCTGAAAGAAATGGTCAGTCAAGTCTCATCACATTACCAGCCAAGAGAAGTTCAACAGCTGCCAATTCTCCAATATCAAAAAGATCACTCAGAATAAAGGCCTCTTTGATGAGCTGCTCTGGTAACAGTCGGGTCCCCTGTTGGCCTTGGATAGCAACTCCTTCAGTATTAGCTTTCTGAACTTTTTCATGCTGTTGGGCATTCTTCGGCTACAAAATAATTTTTAAAAATGGCTAATTATTCTCAAAAATACATTTAAAAATCTGTACTAAAATACAACTAAAAAGTATTGTACTAGGAATATACAAAATTTGCTGTTTTATGGATAGAATGTTCTGGGGAATACTGAGTCAGACTACTTTTCTTCTGGAATGCATCAGGTATGATTTGATCATTTTTCCAGGAGTGAAAATTTGGTGGAAACATAGACCATTTCAGTGTTTCCCATAATATTCTGTCCATGAATCAATTTTGCAAACATCTGCATAGTACATTTTGAATCATTGACCAAGCTCCAATACATTTCACATTTCCAAACATTTTTAATATAGAAAAACATTATCTATGACTGATTTAAATTACTGACTATGATCGTACACTGCACTAAATTATAATATGGTATACTTAGTTTTGGATTAATCTGTTTTATGTCTCTAATCATCATGCTCTGCAAACTATGGTTTATGGCTTAGCATGCATATGAGATAACCTGACTGTGTGTCGTTACCCTGCACGTACATCTTATTTGGTGGACAATATGTAACTGCAAGGTATTATCTAGATTAGAGATCTCAGCTTTCATAAAATACATATATATGCTTAGACTAAAATTTATCTTTGGTCACACTTAAGGCATATATCTGAAATGTGCCAAAACTGACCAATATTGTCTTTATCATTAATAGGGAATGCTGCACGTGGCATAGGCAAGACTAAGTTTAGTAACCTAGCCTACACCTTCTCTGTCTTAGTAAAAAGTGTATGGGAAAGCCAAGAATGATGGGTGATGGACATCAATATCTACAGGCCCCATCTCATAATTTACAGGGCAGAATTCTGCTTTTCAGCAGGGCACTGAGGAGATGTATAAATGTGAGACAGTTTCATATATGTTTGTTGATTTAGAGAAAACATGGCAAAGTTATTAGGCTTGAATTCTGGAATGTTTTGTACAAATTTGAAACTTAATTGTCAAATGTAATTAAATCTTGCAATCTGAATGAATTATAACTCTTCACTAAGTGAATTTCTTAATATTTTCCTCTTCACAGAAATAAATGTCTATTAACAAAGCAAGAGGAGAAAAATCTGAGTTTATTTTCTTTTGTATTTATCCCAGACATTCTATACATTACTTATTATTGAATCATCTCATATAGTTTGTTTGTATCGCCCCAGAGATATTTGTACAGACTATCTGCATGAGATTAAATGGAATGCTTAGCCACAGTTTAATACTGAACTGGAAGTAGCATATATGATGCATGATGACCCCTTTGTCAATTAAAGTATTTATGGATAAATGTATAAGGAATGCTTATGTTGTCAGTAGAGATTTATCAGCTGGAGAAATGAATCAGTATGTACTTTGTATGCAGATGATACCATGTTGTTGTTTGAAAACCCAATGATTTGCAATAAATGTTAGACTGAGCACATGATTCAACAAGGAGTACAAATCTGAAAACTAATATATCAAAAGCAAAGGCAGTTATATTAGACAAATGAGGTGAATGTTTGCAAGTTATACATAATAGCAAAAAATTAGAGCAAGTTCCATTTATATACTTTACAAGAATGTTTACTAAAGATGGGGAAACTAATAAAGATGTAAATGCTGGTAGAAAGGTAGTGGGTAATATATCGTCTGTTGCAAAGAAGGAACATGTTTTAACAAGTGACAATAGTTATGTATTGTTCTGCCCACCTGCTTATATGGAAGTGAGAGTTGCATATGTTAAAGGAAACATTTATAGATAAGTATAGTGAATAATGTTGATATAACCAAAGTTTAGCTATACTTCCTTTTCTTTTTTACCTCATATCTCGATTTTTTTTGGCTTACTACTTCTTACTCTTACTCTTCTTCAGAGTATAATGCTGCTTAACCCAAAAGGGAATAGTGAGTTGGGTATGTATATGAATCCAAACAATTATGGATTATTCAGGAGGCCATAATTAAGCAATTCATAATTAACTGTATAAATCCAATCACTTTATACAGTTATTACAGCTTTTAATCTCCTGGCGCACATAAAAGCTCCCCTGTAGGTTGAGATTTGAATCAAGGACTTCTTTATTCACAATCTGATTACATTCAGATATTACATCTCGTTTGAAGGCTGGCGCACAGGAAATTAGTACAAGTGGATATACTTCCAACATGGTTCAAAAAATGCTTTGGACCTTACACATGCACTTGCAGCACCTCTCTGCTATACATTAAGGCAGCCTGACTTTTTTTTCCAGTCTTCTATGCGTGTCTGAAAAAAGATATTACAGCTTTAAGAGATGCATTAACTTTAATGAGTAGTCTCCTTAAAGAAGTAGCATCTTTTTTCAGGCACAGATGGAAAGTTGGAAAAAGATGGGATGCTTTAATGAATAGCAAAGAACTGCTGTTTTCTGCAAGGTTCAAAACACTTCTTCCAAATCATTTTTGAAAAAAGAACAGCCCTTAAGAATTAATTAAGATACTTCTTTCCTATCTTTTTGCCTCTTAAAAAGAAAGTCTCCAATATCTTAAAAGGAACAATATCTGAGATAGCTAACTATGTTCAAATGAAGATTCATAATTTTGGTTGGAGGGGTATTGTTCAAATCCTATTTTGCTAGGAAATCTTCCCACTAAATCATACAAGAGATGATTTATCACTATGTCTTGAGGGATCAAAAAAGCAATGTTTCAATAGCCTGTTACAGTTTTCTTCTACTCAAGTTTTCCTAAAAGTAAATTCAGCTATTTTCTTAACACTAGAAAGACACAGAAATCATTATTTTAGTTACTGGGCTAATATATTTCTCTCAAGTGAGCTCCCACCTCCCAGTTAATTTGCCTGCACTGGGCAATATTATATTTGTGGAGTCCTCAGTGCTCTCTGAACTTGGTTATTTGCTTGCAGATGACTACGTAACAAACTAGGTAACATCATCAGTGCTAGGGAGTGTGGGATTTGCTCCCTGTTTATATACAGTAGCTTGCCCTGCCAAGAACAAAATTACACCCCCACCAACACTGGCAGGGCAAGCTACTGTATATAAACAGGGAGCAAACCCCACATTCCCTAGCACTGATGATATTACCTAGTTGGGGAATGAAATGTCTGCAAACAAATAACCAAGCTCAGAGAGTACCAAGAATTCCACAGATGAACCCTGAGCTATATATATTCTCTTCTATTGGAATATATTTACATATACAGTATATTCATAACATTTACATATATTTACAAGCTTCTTTAAAAATACTACCAAAACCCTCTTACCCTTATCTAATATCAGTTTGTGATGTCAGTGAAATGGAGATGTCTATGAAGAAATATTACCTTCACTGCAATATTATTAAAATACTTCATTCTGACATCATTATATACAATTTTAAGTTGTATATAATGTACAATTGCATACAACTTAAATTGTATAATTGAATATGCAATTCAAGTAAAATACAAAGCAGACTAAAGAGGAAGAATAACACCATCCCAACTCTTTTCTACACACCTCCCAACAAAATAAAAGTTTGTTTACCGGATTTCTGAAGAGTGATATAAAGTCAGGTTTATGTTTCTTTAAAATCTGGTCAAGAAGATGTATTGCTTCAGGTTGCCTTTTCCATATAGCATTAACCACTGCCTGCCAAATGTCTTTGTATGGCCCCCACAAACTGGCAGCTGGAAATAATACATATAATGTGTTAGCAACCAGATAAAATTATAATAAAAACATTGCTATATTATACAACATTTACAGAAACACATTTAAATCACATTATATGTGATGGCAGTAACAAGAGATCTGCTGCCTCACAGATAACAACAGCTTTATAGTAATAACTATGAGTGATAACAGTTGTTCTAGTCATAGTAGTCCTCACTTAACAACCACCTTGTTTAGCAACCACCTGAAGTTACAACAGCACTGAAAAAGTAACTTTACGATTGGTTCTTGCACTTACGACCGTCACAATGTCCCTGTCGACATGTGATTGAGATTCAGGTGCTTTACAAGCAGTGGGCATTTACGACCGTCACAGCATCCTGCGGTCACATGATTGCCATCTGCACACTTCACAGCTGGCTTCCGACAAGCAGAGTCAATAGAGAAGCTGGCAGTAAAATCACAAATTGCAGTCACTTGATGTCTTGCTTAACAACTGCATTGCTTAGCAACGGAGTTCCCAGTCTCAGTTGTGGCTGTTAAGTGACGACTACCTGTACATTATTGTCTTGGCTTTTTCTACCATTGTTAAGCACAACAGAATAGTCCATTCCTCACAAACCAGTAAGTGGAGCACTAAAGGAAGGTATATTCACATGAAATGTGGGTGGTTTGAAGTTACAACAGCACTGAATTACGTACAACCAGTCCTCAAAGTTCTGGCTGTCGCAGCTTCCACACAGTCACATGATCCTGATACAGGTGACCTTCACTGCTGGCTTCCAACAAGCAAAGTCAATGGGGAAGCCAGCAGGAGGTCGCAAATGGAAACCATGTAAACTCACACTTAACAGCATGGGATTCACTTAATGACAGCAACCAGTCCCAATTACCATTATTAAGTGAGGACCACCTGTATACAGATTCCATTGTGTCAATGATCGCTCATATCCACCACAAAATAATTCGTCTCCATCTTCCATACCAGAACTAGAAGGATAAAATTTCAGAAGTGTCTGAGAATTGTCTAGCTGATAACTTAAATTTCAGATTACTTCCCATGTTAAGTTTCCTAACAAAGAAACAACATGGGATACAGAATTTTAAGTAGCATAGAACTCATAAATTACTATCAACAATGAAGATTCCAGGCATTTTGCTATTTCACAACATCTCTACAACTTGGACTGGACCCCAGGCATTTCAAAAACATCTACAACTTGCCTTGGATCCCAGGCATTTCATAAACATCTCTACAACTTGGATTAGGAAATGAAAAGATAAAAAAGCCATAGTCCCCAATTGTCATTCTAACTGGTAACAAGATATACCTAACAAACTAGTAACACTAACATAAACAACATCAAAGGCCAAGTTCTATCACCTCTTAGTCCTATTCTTCCTTCGCCTTGTTGTTTCCTGTTTACATGCCTTCTCTATGCAGAAAGCAATGATCATAGTGACATATAGAACATTATTCTACACTTGCCTCATAGAGTTTTCTGGGCACATCTGTGCACTGGGACCAGAAAAAAGCAGGAGCCAAGCAGAGTTCTCAATACCACCCTAATGCTGCAGTGAAATCAATATGGTAGCACCTTCCCAATATTATGATTATTTGTCATAATGCCCTTGGTAATAGGCTGCTTTCTCTCTTCTGCCTCAGAGGAACTTCTGGGAGCTTGAGGACACTTGGCTACTCACTGCCACAGTCTAAAAGTGAATGAGGGCAAGACCAGACACAAAGGATGGAGTTAAGGTGTGAAATGATGGCTTAAATCCCTACAGAGTTCAAGGCACCCATTTTGGCCCTTACCCACTTCTACCACCCCAAAATTGCACACACAAAGAAGGATGAAAATGTTGTTTCCACTCATACAAAAATGCCTTCCCATAGCTCTCTGATGTCCAGGACAGGATGTACGCAGCTGGAACAAGCCACTGTAGCAAGGAAAACATAGGCTAGACTGGGAATCATGCCAACAGACCATCAACATCTGGCAGTAGTGAATGGCTGATAAGGGTGTATAACCCCAGTGTTCCACTGACAATCAAAATACCTAAGGACAATAGTTCAGATTTTCTGTGGTCCTTCAAAGAATGTTTAAGAATTCGAATTCCCATCACAGAAGAATCCATGGGGGGAGGGGAGGGGAAACCTCTAAATTTGTTTTCCGCGGCCATTACAGGTTTTACTCTCACTGTTTAATGTATTGTTAGCCGCCCAGAGTTGCATTTGCCAGACGGGGGGCCACGTAAGTCGATAAACTAATATAATATAAACTAATTCCGGTTTCAGAAATCGAAGACTTGTACATTACATCAGAGAAGCTTCTGCTAGACTCAAGGGATTGTTTTCTTCGGTGTTGTTTTAGACCAAGAGTAAAGCAAGTAAAGCAGCAATCCCATAACCCTTCCTGGAAGTAAATGTTCCTATCGCTTCTGAGCTGTTACGTAAAGAATTGCGCGAAATAAAAAGAAAGGGAAACAAACTCATTCATATCAAAGACGGTAGCCTTAAAACGACTCATGGCTTTCAATTCCGCAATAAATAAGGGAGCAACCGGGCGGCGCTCCCTCGCCTCTAAGGGAAAAGAGGCACGAAACGGGGCCACCGCTTTTTCTCCTCTTGCCCTCCAACTCGCACCCGAGCCTCCCCTACCTGAAATTACCGCCAACGGCGCCGACATCTTGGACGTTTAATCACGCGAGCCAAGCGCTTTTGCTGCCCAAAGGCCCGGAACTCGAAGCAGGCAACCTTCGAGATGCCGGATAGCACTATTAATCTTCCGACACGTTTCTAGGATTCTTAACATCAAGAAAAATTCCACCTCCTGCTTGCTTCCATAGGACGGTTAGTAGATTGTCCTTGTAGCTCATTAAATCAAAACCGACGACAATTTTCTTTAGCAGTACAGGAATAGCTGTGTTGCCCTAACAATTGAGAAAATCAGGACCTAGAAGTAATGAATGCCGGGAATTGTAGTTCAGCCCAACCTGATAGACGCGCGGGAAATTGAATGAGTATTGCAATACGATAGAGCAAGTCTCATTCGTTAGGTGCAGCGATCACACGGATTTCTCCGCAAATATATAATTTTGTTCTAACGTAAGGATAAGAGAACCGATTATACAAAAGTATATTTGGTACACCACAAATGAACAACAGGTGTATTTATTAGCAAATTACGATCTATCTTTCCTTTAGAAAGTCAAGGTAGCATGTAAGGTCTCCCCCCACCCCACATTCTATTGTCACAATACCTCAGTGAAGTAGATTAGATAGTGGCCAGTCCAAAGTCACCAATTAATTTCATACTCAGTTTCAACCTGTATCTTCCAATCATGGATTAGATCCAAGTCTGTATCTTGGATAAGAAGATACTTGAAGGTCTCAAATGAATTTGTACAAACTCATACAAGAATTACAATTAACATAGGACAACATGTTCCACGGAATTGAACAGGAAAGATGAGTGTACTGGAGGAGCTAAGCAGTACAATTCTATACATACAAACATATTCAAAATGGACAAAATAATAACTCCCTGCCCCCGAAACTACAGCATGGATTTCTATTAAATTAGCACAAGGTAACTTTAAAAGATTTAAATTAGCACAGATTTAAAAAAGAACCATTAAACTTAATACAATACAAAATTTGCAGAGGAGGAAGAGTGTGACATACACAGTATATCTCTACTCAGCCTGCTGCTTATGTGCTTCTGCTAATATGCAGTTTATAGGTTCTGTTCTTTTTGAATCTTTATTCTTAAACAAATTTGCTGGATGCCCCTTCTAATAAAGGACTGCCTGCAGTAAAGTAGTGTCCCTAATCTATCAGAGGTGGCCATATCAATCTATATTTGTCCCTAAATTCCACTAAAACTCTCATTTAACTGAGCAATAGGTTCATCCACTGTAATATTACAGAACCAAAATTTGTCTCCTTCATATGCTGTCTCATTAATAGAAAACTTGTGCCTTTTTTTCACATGTTGCTCTGAAAATTTCTCCTGAATAAGTCTTCAAACATCTTGGCAATGCTTTCAGCAGGTTTTCTTGCTTCTAGAAAATCTTGATCTTTACATTTTCATATATTCCATGGTGATTTCTCTCTTTTGAGTAGTAATGATATGAATATTTATTTAAGGTACCTCATTGCTTGCTTGCCTCTGATGCCCTTACATCCCTCTTTGTGGCCCTAGACTAATAATGATGTGATGCCATCTAAGTACTGTATTTAGATTTTAAAAATGAGCAAAGAGTGTACATTTGTGCAGCTCACTGCTTAGCAAAATAAGTAGGCTAGCACCCTGTTTTTATTTAATGAAATTATGTCAGAGGGGAGGGTCATGCATGGGGCCTGATTTGCCCACTCCTAAATCCACCACTGAATCCATTCAAAGTATACATGCATAGAATTGCATTGATGGGTGCTCATCAACCTTATTATTGAAACATCTTGTCACCGTTCCCGTGAGATTAGTCTATTTTTTTTTTCCGACAATGTTTTGGAAAAGGCGGGGATTTTATACACCATTGTTTCCCTCTATTTAATATACCAGAATATATGGGCGGAGAGTAAAGAGAGCCAGTCTGGTGTAGCGTTTAACGCACCACACTGGAAACCAGGAGACTGCGAGTCCCAGTTCACGCCTTAGGCATGAAAGCCGCTGAGTGACTCTCTCTCAGCCCATGACGTCAGGCTCGGGCGACAAGCTGGTTGGTCAATCGCAGCCAACGGATCAACGTCCGGTTGATCCGAGAAAAAAAAAAAGCAGACCCTGCACCTGCGGGAAAAACGCTGGGAAGAAAAACAAAATATGGATGTACACTAAATGGAACTTAAATCTGCATGTATTTCAAACAAAAACACGCTGATATCTATGCAATTGGTGTCTTATTAGAGACAGAAAATGGATCAACGTCCGGTTGATCCGAGAAAAAAAAAAAGCAGACCCTGCACCTGCGGGAAAAACGCTGGGAAGAAAAACAAAATATGGATCTACACTAAATGGAACTTAAATCTGCATGTATTTCAAACAAAAACACGCTGATATCTATGCAATTGGTGTCTTATTAGAGACAGAAAATCTAATTACCGCTTCACGAATGTAAGGCTTCTAACTATAGGTTCCACCAAACTACCAGTCCTGTGGGGGGCAGCCTCTCCCGCTCCGTCGCTTTGCTTCCTATCTTTTCCTTCCGTTGCACCAACTCGCTGGTGGCTTGTGCGCATTCGCCTGGGGAACAGCTTCCGAGGCATGCTGGTAGCCCCGCCTTGACAGAAGATGCTGGCGGGCAACGGAGTCCCCAAAGTCTGGAGATTGCCCGTCTCTCACGTAAAGGTCGTTGGCGGAGCTACCCAGCTTTACTCCCGTTGTGGTCGAAGAGAACGAGCGACCGAGAGGAAACTGCTGCCCCAGCGGTCGGATACGACGCGGTGGGTAAGTGGGAGAGGGGCCGGGGAGCCGGAGCCGCAGACTTGAGCTCTCTTCTCTTCTTTGCCTGCCTGAGCTCCTTGTTCTTCTGGGGAACCTGTGGGGTAGATTAAGCTAAAAGGTGGTCTCTTCGCAACCTCATCCACGTTATTACGTGTTACATACGAGCAGGAACTTGAACTTAGGTTTCCCTAGCCCAGCGCTCTAAACATGCTGATTCTTGAATTCAGGACATTGCCATGATCTAGAATAGTGTTTGTCAGTCTCAGGAACTTTAAGATGCGTGGACTTCAACTCCCAGAATCCCCCAGCCAGCAAGCTATTCTTCTGGGAATATTATTAATATTATTATTTTAATAATTGTAATAATTTTATTATTAATATAATATAATGTTCTATTATTCTGGAAGTTGAAGTCCACCCATCTTAAAATTGCTGAGATTGAGAAACAATCTCTATCTAGAATCACTGATCTAGAATAATACAAGATTATTTAAATTTGGTCCTTTGGAAGGAAAATGCATCCCTGGATCATATCATGATGTCTTGATGGGCATTGTAAGATATACAATGTTATATAATATAGCTTAATATAATACATTAAAAGAGAAATATAATGACACTAGATTGCATCCTATAGTGCTAACTGAAAGGATGGTCATGCAAGCAAATTGTCAGCCTCCACCCATATTCAGTTCCCAATGCCATTTGAAAGTCTTCTGGAGAGTTCAGATTAGGTATTTCAAGAAATTTTGAGAATTACAGTTCAGGAAATGGCTTCCATTCATTGGATGCAATGCTTATCCTCAGATATAAAAAAACAGAATTGTAATAGATTGGGGCAGCCTGTATATTTCATAAATAAATAAAATATTTTCCCTTCCCTTCCCTTCCCTTTTTTTTTTTTTTTTTTAATAAAAGGAGACTGCAACTGTGAAGTCATTGTTTCCCATTTTGCATAAAACCAGAATGAAGTTACTGGTTTTGGTTCTGCCGTTTGACAGCCTACCAATCTTTAGAAAATACTTCTTTAAAAACTTATAATGTGCCCCAGTACTTTAAAGGAAATGCTTTGTTTGTCAGTTTAACTAGTCTTTTTATTGATTTTTATAATGCTTCCCATATAGTTTTTAATTGAATGAATGTTAATTTGTTTTACTGTTATAAATGCTTTTTGATTTTTTAAATTTGGTGTAAATAGGTTGACAGTAAAATTAAAATTATCCCAACATGTATATTTTGCTGTATTGCAAATAATAGGTATTTCCCAAATAAATTTGAGGCAATTTTTTTAATCTTAGAAATCTAATTTTATTCACTTTGGAACTAAATCTAGGCTACTTTCATAGTTATATTGTTCTGTTTTATACTTTCTTCTGAATTTTCACAAAGAATTGTAATGTGTATTAGAAGCTTTGTCAGTTATTAAAAATTATTTGCCTGCAATCTTAATATCCCAGTACTTATTTCTAGAGGGGGGTTGGGTTTTATATATGTTTTAGTAGAGGTACAAATGTAAGTGTTCCTCATTCTTGAGACAATTTCTTCCAAGTGAGAGGTGCTCTGCTGTGATGTGGTTCCCTATTTTGATACAGCAAGCAGAAATCAAGTGGTGGCAGTTCTCATGATGAAACCGCAACCAGACTTCTGGAAATGCACCATTTCCTTGACTATATTGGTCTAGTATTGTTTTAAGAAAATGCCACTGTGACCAGTGTGAAGAAAAATATAAACATTCAAATCCACTGTGGCAACAAGGGATAAAAGTGCCACCAAACCTCAAGCTATTAGGGCTGTAGTTGAGGTGATAAGCTGTCTCACTATTGCCCTCAAGGTCTTAGGGCTTTTTCTTTTTTTAATCTAGGTACAGTGCTTTTGCTGGCTACCATGTTTGTGTTAGTAGAGATGACAGATACAGTACGAATTCCTCCATGGCAGTTTGAAAGGAAGCTTAATGAGGCAATCACTGAAGAGTTAAATAAGAAGTTAGCCAATAAGGTAATTATGAAAAGCTCAATCTTTTGCCTGACTTTCTGGAATGAGAATTTATTCTAAATGCCTCATCAAACCATTAATGCATACTGTATTTCTATCTCAGGATAATATTTCATGTATTTGATGAAATGGATACAGTATATGGCAACTTATGCCACGATAGAATTGTGAATCTTGAAGAAACTAGGAAACTCAGCTGTTAATTACTAGAATAGGGATGAGCAAGCTTGCCGTGTTCTTATTTTAAGTTACAGTTCCCATAAGCTCCAGGCAACAGTGATCAGGGATAACGGTAACTGTGGTTGAACACTGGAAGATACTAAGTGTGTTCCTCAATTAGAAAAACATTCAAAAATGGCCACCAAATTTTCATCAGTTTATTTGGTACATTTCTTTTAATACATAGTAATACTATGTAAACGATTTGCAGTTCAGTGCAAAAAGGAATGAGGGGAAATTGGGCTGGTTGCTCATGTTTCTTACCTCTTTTTGCCCATTTGTAGCTCAGGCTATCTATTCATCCTTGGTGCCAGGGATCGCATGTCATGGCTTTTGTGTCTTTAATTCTTGTACACTGCCCAGAATCACCTGGCTGAGATGGGTGGTGACGTACATCATATAAATAAATAATCACTTTATTAGTTAGATTCAGTGCTGTGGCTTTTCTTTTGAACATATTCTGATATGCTAATTCAAGAAAGTTTATCACTTCTCTTTCTAATCATTAAAATTTATTGTTCTCTGGACCTCTCCTATTTCTTGCTCATTCTACTATATTCAGGTTGTATATAACGTTGGCCTCTGTATCTGTCTATATGACATTACAAAGCTGGAGGATTCCTACATATTCCCAGGAGATGGTGCATCACACACAAAAGGTTTGACAACTATTTTTCTAAGTTTGACCTCTTTGTGGAGAAGCTGAGAGCCACAGGGCTCAGCGTTTAATTAAAAATATTTAATTTCATTTCATTCTTGGTACCATTTTCCCTTAATATAAAGTAAAGGAAATATTTATGACATATTCCATGTTTTCTTGTTCCAGTCTAGAGAAATAGGGATTTGTCATGCTGTGCTATATCCTAGTGCTATTTTCATTAATTTAGCATGACAGTGAATTAGCATTTGATTAAGTATGTCATATAGTAATATTAAGGAATTATTCCTTTCTAAGGCAGATATTGATGTTTGAGAAATCATAAACAAATTGGCACATAGATGTTGTTCAGCTTGCCAATGAAGCTAATTTTACTATTCTAATTTAACACAAAGATGCACTTCCTTTAAAAAAGGCATTTAGCAGGTTAGTTCTCAATTTACAAGGGAAACATCTGCATCATCAGGTCTGTCTGACAGTTCTATCTTGCAGTGCCGGTTACTTTATTCATAATACAGTAAGACAGGTATTGATTCATTTATTAAATCTATGTTTTTAATTTATTTCTTTTAAAAGGAAAAGAGAGAGAAAAGAAAGGTAACAGAAATTACAAAATACATATGTGACATGGAAAAGTTGCAGAGTAGTGTGACATAAAATTAGAGGAAAATGAAAACTTATTCATGTTATTAAAATCAGTGTTTAAATTAGCTAAGATATCTACGTAGTAAAAATAAATGAATAGGTGGGAAGCTTGGGTGTTTAGATTTATGATGTTTGCTGCTTTTTTAGTGCATTTTAGATATGTTGTATTTCATCCATTTTTGGACGAAATTCTGGTTGGAGAGATAAAAGGCTGCAGTCTTGAAGGTGTTCATGGTAAGTTATTTTTTTAATTATTTAATAAGATGATAGACACTACAAAAATGGTTTTTCTAAAGGTGTGCCTTCATCTACCAGAAAGTAATAAAAATTGTGGAAAGGATTATGCTGTGGTGTGTACTACAGTATTAAGATAATCAAGATTTGATGAACATAAATTTCTTGTTTCAAAACAAATCTGGAAGAACTGTGTTAAAATCTTTGCTAAAGAACCACACTAAGCCTGGAATTACTGGTTCATCATAGGTATGGAATTTAGTTACTGTGCTAGGTGAATTTGAGTATACATGTTTCTGGAAAAATAATTTTCTAGCTGATTCCTGTCTAATTGAAGAATTTCTTCTCTGTTGTCTCAGCATTTTTATTTCTAACTGCCAATTAAAATCAGTCTAAAGATGTTGTCATTAGATAATTTTATAGAAATCTGAGGGATAGCAGAAGCAGACAGCCATTTGTGGGATCAGACAGCAGTTATCCTCATATTTGCTTTATTATTTGATAGTGTTTTTATTGGTTTTTGTGTAAAAATATTATAAGGATCTATCTGTTGCATCTTGTCCTTTGAGAAGTGGTAAGCACCTGTAGAGTCTACAGATATGTGTAACCTTAAGTACATTGTGTTGAGAAGATTACATGTAAAATATACAATTAGTGGTATATTTATCGATACATACAGTTTTTACTTTGTAATTGCAAGTTTAAAAATTAGAGCTGAGCAGCTTTAACTGAATATTGAAGTATTACTCTTAAATTTGTCCAGTATTGGAGTTTGAATGCTCCAATACTATTTTTAGAGGAGTACTGTCATTTTTTTCTCACATATATTATTGGGCAATCTAAGGCTTAAGTTGGTGCTGTTATGTTGTATTTAAGTGGCTACTATGTTAATCTGAACTTTCCACAGTTTCTCTTGGGTTCTTTGATGACATCCTCATTCCTCCAGAATCCCTACAACAGCCTGCCAAGTTGTATCCTCTGAGCAGCTCTATAATGCAGCACATTCAATAATAGTAATAATAATCCTACAACGATACCATCAAACAACAGCATCTGTCTTTCCCAGGTCCTTGGGAAGCACTCGATAGGTGCATGAAAATGCCAAATCCAGTCTAAACTTCTGGCTGACTGTGCAACCAAAATAAGAACAATAATGATGATGATGATGATGACAAATCTTTTCAGATCAGGCTTATATCTGTTTAAGGTTTTAAAAGCCTGTTTAGTACGTCAGAAAATGTTCTACTTCAAGCCTTATTCTTAAAAACAGGGAATCTGCATAACATTTTGCAGCTTAGGAAAATATGTAGAATATGTGGACAAAGATTAGTTCAAACTATGGTGGGAAGAAAAGTACATGGTGACTATTCAGGTGAGAGTTGAAGAATAGTAGGAATTGTGAAATTGAAGCAAATCTTTTAATTTGATATTAATATACTTTGATGATGCTTTATTTTGTCACTCAAATTCATTTCTAAGTCCCATGGCTAGCTTCTCATTGAGTTACATTTTCTTCTACAATGTAACATGAACCATTTGTATGCAAAACCAGCAATAATTATCCTGGTAAGAAAATGCAGAAGAGATTAATTTAGGGAAACAGTAGGAAATATTTTTTTTTCATATTATGTCTTAGTATCTTAGTATCCTAAAACTTACAATTAGACCATTTAGGCCATTGATACTAATCTTTTATTAAATCTGGAATCCACATGAAAACATGATTACCTAACCCTGTTTGAATATATCCAGTGAATGTGAGTCTACCACCTCCCATGGTCATTGGTCCCACTAAAACTTCCTAACATTCAACCAGAATCTGTCATTCTGTAACTTTAAGACGTTACTCCATGCCCTGCCCTACAGGATGTTAGGGAACAGTTCTTTGCCTTTTTGTCACATTGCTGCCTTAACCTTTCATGTGCCCAGCGATGAAACGGAACAGGTATGGGTTTGGGAATATGAGACTGAAGAAGGAGCTCATGACCTGTACATGGATATGGGAGAAGAAATACGTTTCCGTGTGGTGGATGAAACTTTCATTGATACATCCCCAACAGGCCCAAGCTCTGCAGAGCCTTCCACTTCTAGTGGCACTGATGAGGCACAGAAGAAAGAAGCACCCTACACCATTGTGGTATGTACTCTTCTTTGGAGCCCTTTAAAATGAAGAGCTTTACCAATACCTGAAAGTATATAGGGAAGTAAAGGGGAAAGACTCCCTCAAGTCAAGCTTAATGCCTGGTGACTACAGGGATCCATCCTTGCAATTTTCCTGGTAGCAGTACAGAATGCCTTCCTCTGGAATATGAATGCATACGCTCACACGCACACATCCTAGTGTTGCCTACAACCTTGAGATTTCCTGGTGAATTCCCATCTTAGTACTAACTAGCTCCAATTCTGCTTAATTAGTCATTTAGGGGAATGGAAGAATGTCAGTTTAAAAAATCTGGTTCCTTTTACAAGAAGGATGTGCAAAATGTTTCATTTTGAACTGTCTAGAACATGAAACTTTTCCAGAACAACCTATTTTCAGTGTGAATCTACTATTCCTATTCTGCAATCAAAACTGCAATTCTGCGCTTGAGGGAAAGATGTTTTATGTTCAAAATTGCTAAAAGCAAAACATTTTGCACCCATGTATTTTATACTTACTTCTTAGAACGGAGGGCAAGAAACTAGAATGTGAAGGTGCAGCTTAGATATGACATGCATCTTGAGCTGAACAATTAGAGTGGGGCAAAAAAGTATTTAGTCAGCCACCAATTGTGCAAGTTCTCCCACTTAAAAAGATGAGAGAGGCCTGTAATTTTCATCATAGGTATACCTCAACTATGAGAGACAAAATGGGGGGAAAAATCCAGAAAATCACATTGTCTGATTTGTAAAGAATTTATGTGCAAATCATGGTGGAAAATAAGTATTAATGCAAACTGTTGGCACAGTTGACAGAAAATACAGTGGGGCAAAAAAGTATTTAGTCAGCCACCAATTGTGCAAGTTCTCTCACTTAAAAAGATGAGAGAGGCCTGTAATTTTCATCATAGGTATACCTCAACTATGAGAGACAAAATGGGGGGAAAAATCCAGAAAATCACATTGTCTGATTTTTAAAGAATTTATTTGAATGCAAACTGTTGGCACAGTTGACAGAAAATACAGTGGGGCAAAAAAGTATTTAGTCAGCCACCAATTGTGCAAGTTCTCTCACTTAAAAAGATGAGAGAGGCCTGTAATTTTCATCATAGGTATACCTCAACTATGAGAGACAAAATGGGGGGAAAAATCCAGAAAATCACATTGTCTGATTTTTAAAGAATTTATTTGAATGCAAACTGTTGGCACAGTTGACAGAAAATACAGTGGGGCAAAAAAGTATTTAGTCAGCCACCAATTGTGCAAGTTCTCTCACTTAAAAAGATGAGAGAGGCCTGTAATTTTCATCATAGGTATACCTCAACTATGAGAGACAAAATGGGGGGAAAAATCCAGAAAATCACATTGTCTGATTTTTAAAGAATTTATTTGAATGCAAACTGTTGGCACAGTTGACAGAAAATACAGTGGGGCAAAAAAGTATTTAGTCAGCCACCAATTGTGCAAGTTCTCTCACTTAAAAAGATGAGAGAGGCCTGTAATTTTCATCATAGGTATACCTCAACTATGAGAGACAAAATGGGGGGAAAAATCCAGAAAATCACATTGTCTGATTTTTAAAGAATTTATTTGCCTCTCTCATCTTTTTAAGTGGGAGAACTTGCACAATTGGTGGCTGACTAAATACTTTTTTGCCCCACTGTATTTTCTGTCAACTGTGCCAACAGTTTGCATTCACCGAGTGTAAAGTTAGGCACAGATTTTGATTTATGACTGTATAGAGTCTGTATAGTCTAGGACCTAAGTATTAGTAGATATTCATGTTACTCTTTCAACAGATGTAAAGGGATAGGGCTGGAGAGTGTCAACTTCAAAATATAGAAAAAGAATATTAATTCAAATGTTAATTCTTACAATTTTCATTAAGGGATCTATCAGTGAACCCGGCTTGGGTCTCCTATCCTGGTGGACCAACAGCTAACCGAAGGAAAAGATTTGGCAAGATGGACAGTTACACTGAAAAAGCCAGGAGATGCCTTAATCAACAGTTGCAGAACAGTAGCTGTTTTTCCCCATTTCTGCTTTACATTAGATCAATTCAACCTGATTGAAATGTAGTAAATAAATGGGTGCATCTAGTGGAATATCATCAAAGCAGAATAACTGAGTACGATGACTCTAGAATATGACAACTCTGATAATCTTGGTGCTTTTATTCACCAGAACAGGATATAAGCACCTAAGAAGGGTCTGTTAGCCTGAAAAAAAACAAAGATCCTCTAAATTAAAAAATGCAAAGAAAATATTCTGAAGGATTGCATCTGCCTAGAAATGATCTCATGCTGCTACAGTTCATAATGAGATTAAATGATGAAAAGGACTGATACTGAAAAACCACTGTTTTAATTTTCCCCAAAGGATGGAGCTACTTGTTTTTAATGCAAGCAGCTTATAGTAAGAATGTGGTATAGCTAGGGCAGCAATAAAATTGCCTGTACTTGGTGTCATCAGGAAATTGTCATTTAGGAAGACCTCAAGCACTGGGCAAAATAAATAAACTGCTTTTCTGCCAGAATTACAGTTAAAATAGAAGAGAATATACATAGCTTAGGGTTGAACTGTGAAGTCCTTGGGGCACTCTGAGCTTGGTTGTTTGCTTGCAGATGTTTCATTACCCAACTAGATAACATCATCATCAGATGTCACCTAGTCAGGTAATGAAGCATCCAAGCCCACAGAATTCCAGGACTCCACAGAATTACGGTTAGAAAGTCTGCTTTGTTCAGACAGTAAAGAAAACTTATTATTCTTCCTGTCTTAGAAAATATACAGCCATTACTGCTTTTTAGCATAAATACTGTAGAAAGACAGATGGCCTCTGGGGATGTTCCACTGAGAAGACAAAATGTTACACACACACACACCTGTTGCTATAGCACTTATTCAACAAAAGAACTATTTTATATGGCAGATGCTCCCATTTGAGAAGAAGTATCTCTTCTTCATTAAGTATGAGAACAAGCCTAGACCATTTCTTACTGCACTGTGATATAAATAAAGAATAATTAATAACAATGAAACAGTTGTAATACATGATCAAAAGCATCCCTATAGATCAAAAGGTTCTAATAACCAAAGTGATGCTAGGGCTGCTGTACCATCTTACAGTGGAATATACCTCTCACACATGGTAATACGTTTGAAGACACCTTGTTCTTGCTGACAGTATTTTCTGACAAGATCCCAAATTGGGTTTGGCCATCTCTGAAAGTGTTCATGATGTTGCAATTCTAAGTTTGTGCAGAACATTTCTACTCTTGGCGTTAGCTCTCTGCTGTGATTACTGCGGAGATGCAATTTTTGCTTTCTAATAATGTATAATAACTGGAAGAGTAAGTTGGTAGAGAAATGAGTAAGTTTAATATATAGTAGGTGACTATACCACCAGTTTTTTTCCCTACTTTTCAGAGAAAGGATTTTGGACTAAAAGCAAGAATCTCTATTAAATTTGCTATATTTATTTTTCTTTTGCTTGTTTCCTTTGATATTATTTAAATTATTTACAAATTTTCATATTACAAATCAAAAAATTTGATTGTTTTAATACAAAATATAAAGTGATGGATTCCTCAGAGATAACAGTAATTCTTTTTTTTTTTTCTTTTTGAGAACTTCTGTGTTGTGCTTGCTATTCTATGCTGAATCTATGGGAGTCTGATCCTTCAGTTCTCTTAGGACTGGGTTCTGTTCAGTTACTTCCAAATATACCCCAAATCTGCTCTTCCACTGGCAGATTTTCTTTTCATTGGCAGATTATTGTTGTTGTTTAGTCGTTAAGTCGTGTCCGACTCTTCGTGACCCCATGAACCATATTGCGCCAGGCCTTCCTGTCCTTCACTGCCTCCCTGAGTTTGCTCAGTTTCATGCTCATT